AAAAAGAAATAACTGTTAATGTATTATCAATCAGATTACATTATGTCTAGGAAGGTTCAAAACTTTTTTCAACTGAACTTTCAACAACTTCCAAGATCCCTGTAATGTAGTGACAATTTAATTCCGTAAGGATTTAAAAAATACTAACGAAAATATTAATAGCAAAAATTAATTTTTAATGATGATCAACAAAAAAAAACATTGATCTCTACTTCTCATTCTAATCGCAAGGATTAGCTCAGAAGTCGAAAACTTGTGCGGGACAAAAGGCGGCATACTATAATTCTGTAGGGCGCTTGTATGTTCAGGAATGACTTATCTTGGTAAACCCTAAACACCTTTTAGTGCGGCAATAAGGAAAACCCTGAAAACCTCATTAATTAGGGGGATGGTCGAACGCTGACCGAAATCAATCTCTCACATTAATCCAAGCCAACGTTTTTCCACCCTACCACACCCGCAGAGAGGATGCCTAATTCCTCTCTACGAATACACATTGAGGATCTACAGACTTATGGCTGCGGAGATTANTTTGAAAATTTGGCAACATGGCAATGTCCCTGGGGCGAACACAACTAAAATATCTAGAACCAGCACTTCCGGTTATACCGGAAGCCGATACCAACTTTATTATTTTAAATGGGACATTATATATTATTGTATTTTCGGATTTTGCGTGAAATTTGAGGGTCACTTTAGTAAATATTCCCTATACCTAGGAGTTATAGATTTTGAGATATTAATTTTTAAAGAAAAAATTTGACAGATACAAGGGTCGGCGGAGGCGCTAGTAACTCTTTTCAGGAGCGTGATATCAAGTGGATTTTTGGTACCTGCAAAGAGCATAAGTAACACTAAATTTTGGTGTACCAACCAATTAAACATTTAACACTAGGTGTTTCATTTTTGCTGGTACATTTTGATAACATTTGAAATATAACTTTGTTAACTTAAATGGAACACCCTGTATTTACTCTGTCGTATGCAGATTGAATTTTCCTTTCAAGCCATATAAGCATTGTTAGGGTTGCCGTTATTTACTTTATAGAGATATTTGCAATTTTCAATTTTTCGCACAGTTTTACTCGTATCAGACCTGTTGTCAAATTCGCCATGACCAGAAACACTCCAAAAACAATTGAAAATGTCATGTTGTCAAATTATTGTTGCATCTGAATAGTTTTTGCCAAAAATTTAAATAAAAATACCTGGAAATCATTTAAATTATACTAATTATTCTTTTAATTTGTTTATGAAAAATATGACAAAGTAATTTCAACATGTGAACAATTTGCTGCTTTTTTCCATAAATAACAAACAAATTAAAATAATACTCAGGCAGAATGGCAGAATAACTTGGCAGGAGAGCATTTCAGAGAAAAATGTTAAATACAAAAGATTGAGGATTTCTCCCTGGCTATCCGATGGTGACCTTGACATTGACCTTGGCCTTGAAAATAATTTCAAGGTCAACATTTTTCTCTGAAATGCTCTCCCGCCGAGTTATTCTGCCGATCCTGTAGTTTTGTTCGTTTGACCTTGTGGGGGCCCCAAGGTCAAAAGGGAGGGGTCACTCAAGGTCATATCTGAACGTAAAATTTTCCACTCTTCATTTCTGGGGTCAAAAGTATAGGGCCCAATCGAAAAATCACATTTGACCTTTAAATGATCGTCAAGGTCAAGGTCACCATCGGATAGCCAGGGAGAAATCCTGAAACTTTTGTATTTAACATCTTTCCCTAAAATGCTCTCCTGCCGAGTTATTCTGCCTTTCCGGTACTTTTGCTATACCCTGTAAAGCGGTTTTTGATGGTGCATCATCGCCTCGAAATTAAGTCTGTCAGTGTACTGTTGTTGAGATAATCCACGTCGAAATAGTGCCTGTACGTCAAAACGTTCTAAGAATACCGACAAAAAGTCGAACTTTACGATAGTGACGTCGGTTGTCAGATGGCAGCACGAGGATCACTCATTCCCAAAATATAAAAAGGCAACCCTCATAATTTCTTTTTTAACTGGCATTTTCAAGAAAATAATTTTATTTGTTCGTATGGATGCCATGTTTGACTTTTTATTTAAAAAGAAATAACTGTTAATGTATTATCAATCAGATTACATTATGTAGAAGGTTCAAAACGTTTTTCAACTGAACTTTCAACAACTTCCAAGATCCCTGTAATGTAGTGACAATTTAATTCCGTAAGGATTTAAAAAATACTAACGAAAATATTAATAGCAAAAATTAATTTTTAATGATGATCAACAAAAAAAAACATTGATCTCTACTTCTCATTCTAATCGCAAGGATTAGCTCAGAAGTCGAAAACTTGTGCGGGACAAAAGGCGGCATACTATAATTCTGTAGGGCGCTTGTATGTTCAGGAATGACTTATCTTGGTAGACCCTAAACACCTTTTAGTGCGGCAATAAGGAAAACCCTGAAAACCTCATTAATTAGGGGGATGGTCGAACGCTGACCGAAATCAATCTCTCACATTAATCCAAGCCAACGTTTTTCCACCCTACCACACCCGCAGAGAGGATGCCTAATTCCTCTCTACGAATACACATTGAGGATCTACAGACTTATGGCTGCGGAGATTAAATAGTGGCATCCATTGATTCAAGTATTGACGCTTCAAACTGCTTGGCTACCGACCGGGTATAGACACATAAAATTAATAGTAATATTAATAGTAATAGTAGTAATAGCTGATTAAAACAAGAATTTGAAAAAATTTCATTAAATTTTCAGAAATTGCCTGATAATTCCAGGTTTTCCAGATTGATTTGATGTATAACCTGTTTTTTTTAAGTTTAACAGCAACACAGGGCATCCTTGTATAAATGTAAGAACCTGTCCAAGTAGTGATAGTAAATTTACTGCTGCTACGATCGTATTTAGGAAATTTAAGGTGTCTCGGGTCATAATTAATAATCAAGTTTAAACAAAATAAATATATTCATATTCTTTGCAATACCTTACATAGTGAAATCAAACGGTTCAAAATCCGTCCTTAGTCTCTGCACTAGTTCCTCTTCCTCCTCCTTCGGAAGTATGCAGTCCTTCCACTCCACCCTGTTGGGCATGTCCAGTACGGGTCCTGACGATAACACCTCCCTTGGAAAATTTAAAGGGAAATGGACGGAGCCTTGGATTTTTGTGTACAAAACGGTGCCGTCTGGTAATTCCACTGTGAAATACGGAACTTTTGGTGGGATAACTTGGTCTAAGCGACCGTGAGACTCCAAGACGTCTAGTTTGAACCCCTGAGCTTCAGATTCGTCCTGCAAAGTTCAAATATTAAATTAATCAACAATAAGAAAAAATATGTGACGTAAATGCACAAATTTTAAAGGAAAAATAGGTAAAAATATACGAATAAATTTATAAAAATTTTCATCCAGAAAGTATTCGGTTCTAAGTTAAGAAAAAATAAACAATTATTTGAAATATCCCAAGAATATATACGATAACCTCGCAAAATTTAATACTTCCAAAATGTAAGTATAGTCCAATCAATCTGTTAAGGCCTAATGTTAAACTTACAAAAAGTACCACCTGAAAACAAAAAATATGGTGATATAGGAAAATAAATTCTAAGAAAGATAGTGTATTTTTCCTGTGGCGCATAAATGGCGAAGTTAACCTAAAAAATTCATAAAGGCAAAAAAATGGTTTTTCGCTAATAAGAAAAAACTTGATCTACAATCGAAAAAGTTAAATGAGAAAGTTGTAGTTATTAAAAAAGCCTATCGATTCGTATTTTTAAACATATCGATTGTTATATTACTTTTCCAGATATATCGAAAAAACNTGTGATAAAACACGTACAGAAGTTCTTGGCGCATTTTCCATTATTTGTTGGACATTTTCTTTTAATTCTTCAGTCCGCTTTTTAGGTCGGCCGCTTCCTTCTTTTCTTGTTACACTGCCCGTTTCACGAAAAACATTAACACAACGCTGAACTGCACTTTGAAAAATTTTGTACTCAACAACGCCGGGAAATTGATTTTGAAATTCTATGAAACATTCCTCAATAGAATACTTCCATATTCCATCAATCTTGCGTCCATTTCTAAAGTAGGACTCTATGATAAACACTTTTTGTTCTTGAGAAAACACCACTTTCAACGCTTTTTAAAACGAAAATATTCAAATTGATAGCGGCAATATAGCGCTTTGACAGATGACGTTTAAGTTCATTTGCTATACGCTACGCCCTACGTCCAAATTTTCAGAACCAACTTGACCACGTTTTTATTTGAACGCTCATTATTATCAATCAGATTACATTATGTCTAGGAAGGTTCAAAACTTTTTTCAACTGAACTTTCAACAACTTCCAAGATCTCTGTAATGTAGTGCCCCAAGTCGAAGACTTGTGCGGGACAAAAGGCAGCATACTATAATTCTGTAGGGTGCTTGTATGTTGAGGAATGACTTATCTTGGTAAACCCTAAACACCTTTTAGTGCGGGAATAAGGAAAACCTTGAAAATCTCATTAATTAGGGGGATGGTCGAACGCTGACCGAAATCAATCTCTCACATTAATCCAAGCCAACGTTTTTCCACCCTACCACACCCGCAGAGAGGATGCCTAATTCCTCTCTACGAATACACATTGAGGATCTACAGACTTATGGCTGCGGAGATTAAATAGTGGCATCCATTGATTCAAGTATTGACGCTTCAAACTGCTTGGCTACCGACCGGGTATAGACATATAAAATTAATAGTAATATTAATAGTAATAGTAGTAATAGCTGATTAAAACAAGAATTTGAGAAAATTTCATTAAATTTTCAGGAATTGCCTGATAATTCCAGGTTTTCCAGATTGATTTGATGTATAACCAGTTTTTTTTTAAGTTTAACAGCAACACAGGGCATCTTTGTTTAAATGTAAGAACCTGTCCAAGTAGTGATAGTAAATTTACTGCTGCTACGATCGTATTAAGGAAATTTAAGGTGTCTCGGGTCATAATTAATAATCAAGTTTAAACAAAATAAATATATTCATATTCTTTGCAATACCTTACATAGTGAAATCAAACGGTTCAAAATCCGTCCTTAGTCTCTGCACTAGTTCCTCTTCCTCCTCCTTCGGAAGTATGCAGTCCTTCCACTCCACCCTGTTGGGCATGTCCAGTACGGGTCCTGACGATAACACCTCCCTTGGAAAATTTAAAGGGAAATGGACGGAGCCTTGGATTTTTGTGTACAAAACGGTGCCGTCTGGTAATTCCACTGTGAAATACGGAACTTTCAGTGGGATAACTTGGTCTAAGCGACCGTGAGACTCCAAGACGTCTAGTTTGAACCCCTGAGCTTCAGATTCGTCCTGCAAAGTTCAAATATTAAATTAATCAACAATAAGAAAAAATATGTGACGTAAATGCACAAATTTTAAAGGAAAAATAGGTAAAAATATACGAAAAAATTTATATAAATTTTCATCCAGAAAGTATTCGGTTCTAAGTTAAGAAAAAATAAACAATTATTTGAAATATCCCAAGAATATATACGATAACCTCGCAAAATTTAATACTTCCAAAATGTAAGTATAGTCCAATCAATCTGTTAAGGCCTAATGTTAAACTTACAAAAAGTACCACCTGAAAACAAAAAATATGGTGATATAGGAAAATAAATTCTAAGAAAGATAGTGTATTTTTCCTGTGGCGCATAAATGGCGAAGTTAACCTAAAAAATTCGTAAAAGTCAAAAAAACACTTATTCAATTTCAGTCTCTGTAAGAATGGACACTATAGCACTTAAATAGCGGCCTGTGGAATTTCTTTAAAAAAAAATATATCTCGGCTCCAAAAGGTTGCAGAGCAACGTTTTTCTTTTTTTAATTCGCGTAAAAATAACATAATCGAGAAATGAAAATCGAAAAAGATATTCAAGAAAAACGCGACCAAAAAATGTTTACTTTTTCAGTCATTTTTGGATACTTGAAATGAATAAAATCTTTATCACTCTTTTTTTACCATGAAAGTACAACTCTTAAGGAAAAAAATGAGCCCTGATTCGTTTCTCTACGACTACTCGTCGAGCAAGAAGAGCCGATTTTGGAGATGACCTTTTCTTCGAAAAATCGATATAACTCGAAAAATTTTTATTATTTTTTAATGTAAAAAGAGGTACTTTTTTTGCTTGATGAGGGCTAAACTTACAGCAATTAATAAGTTTCAAAACCTTAATTTGCAAGAGATACAGTAAAAATAAAAAAAGTCGATTTTTGACGGTTTTTTCGATATATCTCGAAAAGTAATACAGCAATCGATATATTTAAAAATACGAATTGATAGGTTTTTTTAATAGCTACAACTTTCTCATGTAACTTTTTTCAATTGGAGTTAAAGTTTTATTTTCATTAGCGAAAAACAATGTTTTTGACTTTTATAAATTTATTAGGTTAACTTCGCCGTTTTGCGCCACAGGAAAAATACACTATCTTTCTTAGATTTTTTTTACTATATCATCATATTTTTTTGTTTCCAGGTGGTATTTTTTGTAAGCTCTTCTACCTATTGACTGGACTAATACTTAGTAGGCTGTTTTCCAATATTTTTGTTCAGTTTTATCAGATTCACCACCAAACTGACAGATCTAACTGCAAATTATAATAATTAGAAGTTCCAGATATTTACTATTACTAGTTTTAAATTAAAAAAGTAGTTTTGGCATATATGGTCTGTCCTATAAAATGTTAATTAAATTTCTAGTTATCAAAATTTTTATATATGATTTAAATTAGTATTTTAGGTCAATAAACTTCTTGTAAATCTAGAAAAGATCTCCAATATGATTTCCTATATTATTTTCTTCTCCAGAAAATAAAATGATACAAGTTTTGAAATATACACTCACCGGCATGAAAAACGAAGCACATACATTTAAAAAAAAAGCTTAAGTTTCAAAGATTTCAGATGTTTTATTTTTCTAATAACGCAAACATAAGCAAAACAAAACGTTTTAAACAATTTTCAAGAATGCTTTAACAATTATTTGATAATTTTGCACAAAATTTATGAAAGCTGAATGATGCAGTAATCTTATTCCTTAAAAGTTCATAGTGGGCTCTGGATATATGCGTTTTTGAATTGTTTTATAAATGTCAAAAGTTAAAAAAAGGTTGAATGCAGTGTTGTAAGTTGTGTTGTGTTAGTTTAATCACATGAATAATGGGTGCAAATTCTGAAACAGTGGCTGTTGAATTGAATCAAGAAGGAAGTCAGCATTATGTTGTCAACAATATCAAATATCGAATAGCACAGTCCATCGCATTTATGGACGTTTTGTGGAAACTGGATCTTGCAGCAAGCTACCTGGGACTGGTCCTCAACGAAGAACCAATGCCCACGATGATCATTTTATTGTCAAGCAAAGCCTTCGGAATTGGCGTGCTACGGCTGTAGAAATCAGAAATCGGTCTCAGTACGTTCGAAATACCAACATAAGTGAAAGGACAGTTAGATGATGACTTGGAGAAGTGAATATGACTAGTCGTAGACCTGCAACAGGATCGGAACTTCTTAAATTGCATGACTTCAGTTTGCTAGAAATCACCAGCTTTGGGGTGAAAACAAATGGGTTCGCGTCTTATTTACGGACGAGTCAAGATTTAGTTTGCAGTCTTCAGACGGTCGTGAGAGAGTATGGCAAAGACCACAAGAACGTTTTGCCAAATGTACCTTGTCCTAGAGTCAGATATCAAGGGGGTTCAGTTATGGTCTGGGCTGGAATTTCTCTGGCAGCGCGCACAGAACTCTATACGTTCCAAGGAGCTCCCTTACAGCTGCTAAGTATATTGGTGAAATTCTCCAAGATTTTGCTGGTTTCATGGGAGATGACTTTCTGCTAATGCATGATAATGCTAGACCCCATACTGCAAGAATGACTTGACAGTACCTGAACGAGGTAGATGTTGCTGTTATGGAGGGGCCAGCATTAAGTCCAGATGCCAACCCAATTGAGCATGTTTGGGACATGCTTGTGCGACAAATTTGCAGTCGACTTCCTGCGCCACTAACCTTAACTCAGCTTCAAGATGCTCTTGTGGAAGAATGGGAGCTTTTTGCTCAAGAGGACATCAGGGACCTGATTTTTGGCATGCCAAGACGAATTAATGCAATAATTAGAAGTTGTGTGGGCAATACTCATTTTCGAAAAACTTTTATTGAACGGAAATTGTTTGAGTTTTGGTTATGTTATTTTTGCTTCATCATCATCATTTGCTTCAGTTTGCCACAACACTTTCTTGCATTTTTTTTTATTTTGTTGACATTTTGTTGTAAAATTTACGTGTGAATCATGAATAAATATTTTCTTATTAAAAATCATGGAAAATATTTTGTATTGATAGTGTTTACAGTAATACAGTACAAAAACATTACAATCAATTAAAAAAATAAGATTATTTTAAAAGAAGTGCTGTACCAAATTTTGTGAAACTATCATTATTCATTCTATTAAATGTTAAAGCCTATGTCTCGAAAACGTTTCTGCTAATTTTTGTCTGGGACTGTACCAATAAATCTCATGCACTTCCTTGTGCAAAACCTGTATCTGATTTATAAAAATTGTTCAATTTTAGTACTTATTAAACTTACCACAAAAATATCTTTTAGTTCCCGGTCCGCATTTTTTGGTATAGGAATTGCTTGTAGCTGCATGTGTGAAGTTTTGTAGTTCCTTTCAAAGAATACTGGTATTCTATTATTTCTTAAATAAAACTTTTTTAAAGCTTCCTTAAATTGATTAATTTCTTCCAATACATCTGGGGGTTGGCCTAGGCTGCTTTGGTAATGCTCTATGGGGCAGATAAGCAAGTGCTCCTCCACTATACCACCTAAAAGATGCGTATAGAGTATGTTTAATTTTTCACTTCCGGGGTCCACAGAATATAAAAAAAGAATGTCAGTTTACTACATACAATTCTTTCAAAAAACGTACTGTTTCCAAAATACAGGGTGCTCGAGTTTATAATAAAAGAATAACTTTCCATTACATCTCTGAAATTAGGGCTGTGAATTAATTTTGAGGGATTTACAATATATGGCGTAACTTATGCTATATTGCATCGGACACTTTTGTAAGTATATTCATGTAAAAGCTTTGTCATTACGCTTTATTATTTATTATGCATCGTTTTGCTGAAGTGTAAACAAGATCCGAAGATGTTGAATTATGACCCAATAAAATCACCATTTGAGGGAAGTTTTACTTTTCCTGTTTAGTTAAAAAATATATGCTACTGACAGTCATTGAGTACTATTGGAAACTTACAGTGAACATACTCCATCGATAAAGATGTGAGTATTGGTTTCGACGGTTTAGAAGTGAATTCAGTTGACAAAGAACGCCCAACCAAAAGAGTTCGAAAATGAGGAATTGGAAGCATTATTCGACCAAGTTTCATGTCAAACGCAAGATGAACTTGCTGAATTGTTAAATATTGATCCCACAACAGTTTCCGAACGTTTAAATGCACTCGGTATGATTGAAAAGCAAGGAAATTCTGTGCCATACGAAGTGAGGCCGAGAGATGTTGAATGGCAAAAAAGAAAGGGTTTCTCGCATTGTATCGTCACTGACGATGAAAAATGGATTTGCTATGATCATCCTAAATGTAGAAAATCGTGGGGTTTGCCTTGTCATGCATCAATATCAAAGCAAGTCCTAATATTCATGGTTCGAAGCTTATGCTCTGTATTTCGTAGGACCAGCTTGGCACTGTGTACTATGAGCTGCTTCAACAGAATAAAACCATCGCTGATCAATGCTACCGAATACAATTGATTCATATGAATCATGCATTGAAGAAACGATGGTCACAATTCAAGCAAAGATACGATAAAGTTATTTTTCAACATGACAACGCTCGAAACATGTTGCTCATGAAGTTTTGTTTTTAGGCTTCCGTGGCTGTCATTAATGGTTGAATGATTTCCGGGCTGGTTGCCATGTCGTCGATTTACAACACTTGATGTTTTGAGAGACATAACGCTTTCTTCTTCAGAAGTTACTTAAAATCACTGAAATGGGATGTTTTATCCTACCCGCCATATTCGCCAGATATTGTTCCACCGGATTACTACTTGTTCCGATCCATGGAACACGGTCTGGCTAAGCAGCGCTACCAAGATACTAAAAATTAGATCGATTGGTGGATAGCATCAAAAGATAAGTTGTTCTTTCGTCACGGAGTCTGTATGCAAAAAAATGAGAGAAAGTAATGGCTCGCGATGGATTACACTTTCAAAAATAATAACAGTTTTTCACAATAAAGCCTTGAATTCACAAAAAAATTCCTCAAAATTAATTCAGTTCTAGTCCTAATGTGTAATTGTTTTAAAATTTTATATGACTACTAAAAAGTAGTTTGTCTTAAATTTGAAAATAACTCTTTCTTTACAATGTGTTGTCAGTTTGCTAACAACTTTTCGTGAAAACCATAGTTTCTGAACAAATTTCACTTTTTTTTTAAGATGCCAATAAAAAGAATGATTAAATAGATGGTCATCAAAATTGTTCACGTTCTCTCAAAATATGTTTAGCTATGTTTTCCTTAATTTTTATATAGTGTTTGATTTATTAGTGTACTCAATACACTCATTTATTTATTAGTGTATACATTAGTGTTTTATTTATTAATGTACTGAATGTGTAAACACTAATTAATTTATTAGTGTATACACTAGTGTTTTATTTATAAGTGTATGTAATGATTATTATTTGTGTATTTGTTAACAAGATAGTAATTTAAAAATATACCTTTAGCTAGTGCTAAATATATTGCATTTCCCACTGCAATTATAAGATGCTAATTGTATACATTAGTGTTTTATTTATTAGTGTACTGAATGTGCAAACACTAATTTATTTATTAGTGTATACACTAGTGTTTTATTTATTAGTGTATGCAATGATTATTTGTGTATTTGTTAATAAGATAGTAATTTAAAAATATACCTTTAGCTAGTGCTAAATATGCTGCATTTCCCACTGCAATTATAAGATGCTTTTCCACCGACGGACTAGCCAAACAGAACCAACATTTACTTTGATCCATTTCAATTCTAGGCTTTTTGTTCCTTTTCTTATTTTTCTCTTCACCTTCGTCGGTGGCATTCATATCATAAAAATACTGGTTAACCCCAGATATCTTCCTTTTAATTTTAAAAACTGAAATCATTTTAACACGCTTAAAACAAAATTAAGTTAACAGGGGGAACTTACTTTTGCTTTCTAATTCGTTGAAGTTAAACGGACAAGGTGTCTCATCTGTCGTCTTTTGAAAGAGATCCGACATTTTCATTTTATCTAAAGGTGTTATGCTTAGAGCGTATATCCATTTATCTTTATTAGGGTTACCCACTCGAGCTAGTCCTATAAAGCGTGTAACGCTTTCTAAGGTAGTGTCATGATCGCCTAAATTAGGACATCTAAATGGGGGTCTCTCATAATAGATTCCCTCTAGTCCGCTAACCAAGTACCTGGGTTTCAATTTCATACATAAGTAGCTTGGTAGATCACTGACAGCATTTGTCGATAATGAAACCTCAAAAAACAAAGTAAATTTAAGTTATCAAGAATTAAAATATATAAATTTAATTCACTTTGATCCAGAAATGTATGTTTCAGGTTTCAGTTGTTCCATTATCATATATTTAAACAACAATGGGTATTTTACAAATATTCCCACTTACATTTGAATTTCCTGATATTATTCCAGCTGGCCACTGTGACGTTAAGAGTATGTCAACACCTCGGAAAGATGGATTTCCTCGAACACAAGCATCACATAAACCAGAAACATCTTTGGCATTGTATGTCCATGGCGTCTCAATATTAGTTTCAAATATTCCACTTAAGTAAGCTATCTTCACCCCTTTGCTGTCTGTATACACCCCTCTTTTGCCTTAAACATAAACTCCGAGATAAACTCAAAACATAATTTCAACATTTCTATAAAATAATTTACCGAGGTAGTACACATTGTCGCACAATTCAAATTCAGAATCATCGGATGGATAGAAAGGGACATGGTCTTCTTTATTAGGTCCAAGGATATATGTTGGAACAGGAACTAAAATGTAATTATATAATAATTCAATATTTATTTATAAACTATAGTACAAATAAGTCAAAAAAATGCAGGTGATAATATTAAAAACAAAATTATTTTGTTGCCTAAATACCTACCCTTCTTATCTCCTATTTTATAAGGGGTAAATTCTTTATTATTTACTCCAAAAAAATTCCCCACACATAGAAGTATATCAAAGGGTCCAGATTTTTTATTAATGCTCTCTACCCTTTTAAATAGAGTGTCGAATTTTCCTTCCACATCGCCGCACAACAGTCTAAAAAAAAATCTAGAATGCGTCAGTGCAATGTGTAAACAACAGTTATCCGCGGGTTGTGATCAAACTATAAGTAACCACTAAACAGTAACTTGCAAGTTTTGATTGTTTAGAAGAATTAGAGATATTTTTAAAGGTAATTGTACTTACATTTTTTGCTTATCCGACATTGTACAGAAATATTCAAGAAAATTCAATTTCTACAGAAGTTATATTCCGATATTGAACTGCACTTCATGACATTTTTTTTCACCCTCAACATTCATATAATTTTCCAGAACGAATTTCCGATAGTAATTCTAATATAATTTTGTTAGATTATTTAAATTTCAATTTATTGTTAGAAATAAACTGTATTCTATACTATAGTGATATTTGTGAAATTATGAGGTTAAGTCCGTTATCCATTAGTCGAGCGTGTGAGCCGAGTGAAGTGAGCCATAGATTAATGATTAAGATTATATTGACGATTCCACGAACAACTTATTTTTCAATACTGCCAGCTGTGGTGGTGGTATAAACACCTTCCACTCGATGGCAATAACTATTTAAATCTCCAATACCCAATTTTTGATTTAGATATAACTGACTATCTTTTTGCGTCTGTTTCATGAAAATGGAAAACACATTCTTAGGGTCATTTCCATATTCCATCTTTACCAATCATTCATTCCTTTATAACTTTTTCTTATATGTAGGTGGATCCTTTGCTTATTGTCGAATTCTGTGCTAAGCGAAGTTATTTGTTTTTTACTTATATGTGTGAAATAAGTAAAGATATTCTTGCCGTTTAGTCAATACAAAAGTGATACTTTTTATTTCTTATAAGCCATAAAAGTTATTTTCATCACCCCAAGATGAAAAGAAAAACTTCAAATTTAAGTATATGTGCACAAGTACTGCTGAAGTAATGTAGAGATGTTTTAAAATCTTATGAGTTTTGACCTTCATATGCGCAGAAACATAATTCCGACCGTCGCCAAAATTATTCTACGTCCTAAAAACATTACACCTATTATTCACAGTCTCTCTCGAGCTCTAGTGTAAACATGTTTTTGATCCGATTACAAATATCATAATAAAATGCCCTATTCTTTATTATTTTAATTTAAACAATAAAAATATATATAACGAACGTTCGCCAGTTGACTTAATTGATGCCCGAGCCACGGCCGTCGTTAGTAGAGACGGCCGTGCTCGAGCGCCTTAGTTCATGTCTACTTGTAATGATGCACATGGTCTAGTTCTGAGTCAATGTTTTCACAACGTGCTTATTAGAAGAATTATGGGGATACGCCACGCCTTTCGCGCATTTCGCGGCTCATGAGATATTAAAAGACCTCTACCTTTTTATTAGTTAATTTAATTTCCACCCAACATTTTAATTACAACAAATTAATTAAAATTAATTAAATTAATTAAAAATTTTGGTCATAGTCCCTACAAATATTGAAAAAAAAAACTAAAATAAAGTTTTAACTTTACAATACATATCGTCGTTGATCTTGCAAATGGGAAATGGGTGACAAAAGAAAATTGAAAAAGTAACTTTTTGAATTAAGTATAAATATTTACCAATATATTGGTCTATACTTACTACTAGTACTAGGATATCTATCGTACATACCACAAAAAACCGCTTGTAATGACTTTTCTTCATATTTTTTTTATTGAGAAATTACTTACTCTAATACCAGTTTTGGTGCTTACCCTCCTTTGCATTTATCAACAACGACACATGTTTGTCCTTTCTTGGAAAATATACTAAGTATTTTAAACTTTTCAACGATAAAACATGTCTCAATAGATTCAAAACCTTGTTGAAAAATCAATTGCAAAGGAAGTGAAGATGGTTTCTCAAAACTATAACGTTGTACCTATTAAAAATCTAAGTTCACAGCTCAGAATTCTTTGCAAAAAATTAGTACAATTTATTTTGCAACAAAAAGGTGTTTATTAGGTGCATATATTTATTTTATCTACTGTTTATGTTTATACAGGTTCCTTTTAAGTTCCTCCCAATTACAGAAAGAGACTGTCTCTTGAGATTGACAATATTTTCCATTAAAAATATATCCTAAAGGACAAGAAAGTGGTGTTTTCGGAATTCCCTTGTGGCAATGGAAAAATTTTCTGCAGTCGTATTGGTCATAAGCGTAATGATTTTTTCCACATTTTCTAGGATCCACTAAAGGTTTAATGTATTTGGTTTTTCTGCACCGAGCTGAAGGTATGCTGAATATTTTATTTTGTGGGCATCTCTTGATTTTTAATAAATATTCGTTGTTGTTGAATTTGTCGACACAGTCATAATATCTTGTCCTGTCATACGGAATTGGATATTTACCTGGTCCTGTACAAGTTTTCAGGACAGTTTCATTGACATTTGTTAATGAATGTTTCGATTTTTTTTGTCTGTAAGTGCATTCTGGAACATTTTCGGCAACGTCACATCGCATAAGCTTGACGTTGAATTTAAGACAACTGGGACACTTGTAGATATCTGAAGATATAATTGTCTTACATTCTTCTCTATAATAACATTCATAGTGCTTAGTACAGGAGTTTTTGTAACGGAAAAAACCTGCTTTTGTGCATATTTGACCTGAAACTTATGAAGTATTAGAAATTTAATAGTTATAATAATTTTTCTTTTACCTTTTCTCGGCTGACATAATGTGCCAGCAGCAGTAGTAGTTGCTCCATGTGTCTGATTTTCTTTAGTGGTTGGAAAAATTTCACTCATACCAGCAGCGGTTAATGGTTTTTCAGTGACCTCTATTTCACTTTTTGAAATTAATTTTGTGCTATCATTTTGATCAGCTGGAATTGTTACTACAGAGTCTATTCTATTTAATATCAAATGTTTGGTAGTCAACAATAATTCATTTTTTGCACTCGTAACATTGGCTTCAACACTTTCATCACCATTTTTTTTGCCTTCCTTACCTCCAAATACAACTAACATAGCCGTTGTAATTTCAGGCATTATTGATACTTGATCCACAAATTTTTCAGATGTGGATAATGTAATCAGTTTATTTGTTTCTGTGATATTATCTTGTATACCATCTAAATTAATTGCTGTACTTAATTTTTCATGATCTGTTGCAGAAGATTTATCTTCTATTGAAATAAGTAATGGGACTTCAGTAGTTTTGTCCATGTTCTCATTTAATTTTGTGGTGTCTTTATCTATTCTACCGTCAGATAGTTTAGTTGAGATCTTATCACTTGATTTTTCAGATGTGGGTGATGTAATCAATACATCAGTTTCTGGGATCTTATTTTCTATACCATATGGATTAACCGCAGTACTTAATTTTTCATGATCTGTTGTAGAAAATTTATTTTCTGTTGAAATAAGTAATGTGGCTTCAGTAGTTTTGTCCATGCCTTCATTTAATTTTGTGGTGTCTTTATCTATTCTACCCTCAGATAGTGTAATTGAGACCTTATCAGCTGATTTTTCAGATGTGGGTGATGTAATCAATCCATCAGTTTCTGGGATCTTATTTTGTATACCATCTGGATTAACCGCTGTACTTAATTTTTCATGATCTGTTGCAGGAGATTCATCTTCTGTTGAAATAAGTAATGGGACTTCAGTAGTTTTGTCCATGCCTTCATTTAATTTTGTGGTGTCTTTATCTATTCTACCGTCAGATAGTTTAGTTGAGACCTTATCATTTGATTTTTCAGATGTGGGTGATGTAATCAATCCATCAGTTTCTGGGATCTTATTTTCTATAGCTTCTGGGATCTTGTTTTCTATAGCATTTGGATTAACCGCATTACTTAATCATGATCTGTTGCAGAAGATTCATCTTCTGTTGAAATAAGTAATGTAGTTTTGTCCATGCCTTCATTTAATTTTGAGGTGTCTTTATCTATTCTACCGTCATTTAATTTAATAGAGTCCTTATCAGTTGATTTTTCAAATGTGGATGATGTAATCAATCCATCAGGTTCTTGGTTCTTATTTTCTATAGCATTTGGATTAACCGCAGTACTTAATTTTTCATGTGTTGCAGAAGATTTATTTTCTGTTGAAATAAGTAATGGGGCTTCAGTAGTTTTGTCCATGCCTTCATTTAATTTTGTGGTGTCTTTATCTATTCTACCGTCAGATAGTGTAATCGAGATCTTATCAGTTGATTTTTCAGATGTGGGTGATGTAATCAATCCATCAGATTCTGGGATCTTATTTTCTATACCGTCTGGATTAACCGCAGTACTTAATTTTTCATTATCTGTTGCAGAAGATTCATCTTCTGTTGAAATAAGTAATGTGGCTTCAGTAGTTTTGTCCATACCTTCATTTAATTTTGTGATGTCTTTAGCTGTTCTACCGTCAGATAGTGTAATCGAGACCTTATCAGTTGATTTTTCAAATGTGGGTGATGTAATCAATCCATCAGATTCTGGGATTTTATTTTCTATACCATCTGGATTAACCGCAGTACTTAGTTTTTCATGATCTGTTGTAGAAGATCCATCTTCTGTTGAAATAAGTAATGTGGCTTCAGTAGTTTTGTCCATGCCTTCATTTAATTTTGTGGGGTCTTTATCTATTATATCGTCAGATAGTTTAGTTGAGACCTTATCACCTGATTTTTCAGATGTGGGTGATGTAATCAATCCATCAGTTTCTAGGATCTTATTTTGTATACCATCTGGATTAACCGCAGTATTTAATTTTTCATGATCTGTTGCAGAAGATTTATTTTCTGTTGAAATAAGTAATGTGGCTTCAGTAGTTTTGTCCATGCCTTCATTTAATTTTGTGGTGTCTTTATCTATTCTACCGTCAGTTAATTTAATAGAGTCCTTATCAGTTGATTTTTCAAATGTGGATGATGTAATCAATCCATCAGGTTCTTGGATCTTATTTTCTATAGCATTTGGATTTACCGCAGTATTTAATTTTTCATGATCTGTTGCAAAAAATTGGATCTTATTTTCTATAACATCTGGATTAACTGCAATATTTAATTTTTCATGATCTGTTGCAGACGATTTATTTTCTGCTGAAATAAGTAATGGGGCTTCAGTAGTTTTGTCCATGCCTTCATTTAATTTCGTGGTGTCTTTATCTATTCTACCATCAGATAGTGTAATCGAGACCTTTTCAGGTGATTTTTCAGATGTGGGTGATGTAATCAATCCATCAGTTTCTGAGATCTTATGTTCTGTACCATCTGGATTAACCGCAGTACTTAATTTTTCATGATCTGTTGCAGAAGATTCATGTTGATTTTTCAGATGTGGGTGACGTAATCAATCCATCAGTTTCTGGGATCTTATTTTCTATACCATCTGGATTAACCGCAGTACTTAATTTTTCGTGATGTGTTGCAGAAAATTGATCTTCTGTTGAAATAACTAATGGGGCGTCAGTAGTTTTGTCCATGCCTTCATTTAATTTCGTG